TGCCAGGGGCTTAAGTGGAGAGCAAATGTTTTGAGAATGATGAGGGCAACGAATGTACAAATGTGCTTTACACAATGGATGGATGTATGGATTGTGATAGGAGTTGTATGAGCCCCCAATAAAATGATTTCTTTAAAAAGAGATGGGACAATGATCTATGTCTCCTGGTATTCCGACTCTTGTGTAATTCTCTCAATTGCAGGTGGGTGAGGAGTCCTGGTATGTAGCAGAAAGAAGAGTTTTTCTCTTTCCGTAAAGAGTCACAGACCCAGAAATCTCAGGGACATCAAAAATCTGTCTATCCGTCAAGTTTTATAAGGTCGCTGTGAGTTGGCATCAACTCGATGGCTGTGAGATGGGTTTTGTTTTTCTTTTCAGTTTGAGTGTGGGCTAGGAGCCCTCATAGCACTATCAGGTAAGTATTGAACTGCTAACCACAAAGTCAATGGTTCAAATCTACTAGCCACTCCAAAGGAGGAAAGACGAAGCAATCTGCTTCCAAAAAGATTTCCCGGCTCAGAAACCCTACCAAGGGTAGTGATGAGTCAGAACCAGATTGAGGGCAGTGGGTTGGGTTTTGGTTTGGGAGTATGACTCACTTTTAATGAAAAAGAAAATGGCAAACTATGGGATATAAATTCCCAGATGAAGTTACAGAAAGACTTACTTCCTCCTTGTTCACTGCCCCACTCTCTCTCTTCCTGAGGAGAACCAGCTGCCACTGTGAGCGACCCTATTTGAGATGCGCATGAGGTGAAAGAGAACGAGGGCAGTTTCTGGAGCTGCAATGCACTCATGTCACATCCTGGCAGAAGGACAGACCTGCTTTAATAAACGCAGACACAAATACTGCCTAATCAGCCCTTCTCATTCAGCGTCATTCTCCAGATTGGTGCAAAATAATGGGCATGGGGTTCAAAAGCTCACCAAAGAGGAGGCTGAACCAAGGCTGCAGGACTCACCTGACTGAGCCTTTCTGAGCTCCTCTGCGGACCTCTGCTGTTAGGAGCTTAGCAACAGGCCAAATTAAGCAGAGTGTTTACCTAGTTACCCCCTCTCCCTCATTCATGCCTCTTACCGTCAGTAGCACCACTGCCTCTAAATAGTCTCCCTTCAGTTTATAGTAGAAGTAGGTTCAATAAGAATTCTTTCAAAGTGGTGGCTTGGATGTTAAGATGTGGTAATTCTCTCAAGAGAAGTATTGTAAAGAAGTGAGCTGACCGTTTGCACGCTCATTCTGTCCTGGGTGAGACCTGGGTATAAGCTCAGGTCATCTTATCTCATCCTGTAGCTCAGTTGGGTAGGTTCTAGGGTTAACCTATTTTCTACATCAGGAAATGGAGGCTTGAGAAGATTAAGAAACATGTCCTTGGCAAGGAACCCCAGATTGGTCATCAAAAATCAGTTCTACCCATCAAACTAAGTTCTGAGTCCTGGGAACTATTGTTGCTATTATTAGTGTCATCAAGTGGATCCTCACTCCAAATGTGCAGCTGCTCCACAGGGTTTTCAAAGCTGCGACTGTTTGGAAGCAGATCACCAGGCCAATTATCCAGAGTTCCTCTGGGTGGCTTTGAACATCCAACTACTCAGTTGGTAGTCAAGTATTTAACCATTTTGTGCCATCCAGGGACTCCTAGGAATGCTATACAGTATAGAGGCGTGAGTCTAACAAAGACCCAAGGCCACTGACATCAAGTGAATTCTGACTCGGTGACCCCAGAGCAACCCCATAGGGCAGAGCAGCAATGCGTCATGGGTTTCCAGTGGTATGAACTAAAGGGAGCAGACGACCACAGCTTTCTTCCACAGAATTAAGAAAGCAGCCCAACTCTTAACCCACTTACCTATTGCAGCTAATTTATGATGTATGTAGCTAATTCCTCAATGAAGTTCACTTTAACAAGAGGTTTGAAGAAAAGTACCTTGTATAGAAAACCCGGTTTTGACTTGCTTTTTTCCTTTCTCAAAACTGTTTGCTGGGACTATGGCAATTAAAGTTGGGCAGTGGCAATTTCCTGTGTGATGGGGACAGGACAATGAATCTGTAGTTCCTACACAAAGTGGTTTGTGTGTGTGAGCACCTTTCTTATGTACATGGGGCACTTGGCGCATGTCACTTGGCCCTGCCTGATCTTTTGCTATGTCTCTTCTTTCTCTGTCAGATTAAAATCTTTATTTACCAACACATACATGTTTGGAAATACAGTGTAGCACATAGTAAAAAAAAAAGTCATAATAACTACTGGTGGAAGTGACGATGAATGAATAAAAGATTAAAGGCACATTACCCCTGAATAAGAGCAGCTGCAAAGTAGGTAATTTTCCAACCTCCTGTCACGCCTTTCCTTATTGCAGCCTTGTTATGGCCCCGATCTGTGATCTCCAATGTAAGGCTGGCAATTTTGCTATTATTAATTATTGCCGAGGCCATATGTTTGCCTCTTATTCCAGCAAAGCCACGCTGCAATTAGTGAAGGCAGAAAGGAAAGACGTTGGCAGAGGTTACTACAGGGAAGCAGGCTGAGCGAACACCCTCAGTGGGAAACAAAAGGAAACTCCTTCCCAGCAGTTGCCTTCAGTCTTCGCCATCCTGCCGTGGGTGGGGGTGGGGGCCCGGAGAGAACCAGGAACCAGCAGCAGGGCTTGTGAAGCCAGAACTCATTTCCCGAACAACCCAGTACCTTTTAATCAGGTCGAGCTCTGCCTGATCCCTCTTGTTATAGAGCAGGTTCCGACTGTTTTCAAAGATATCTTCAATCTGGTCTGGCCAGAGGAACAGCGTGCTGTTCAGCTTGATGTCTTCTTCTACAAAACATACACAGTTTGTTCTAGGATACTGCTCTGCATAGGTCAGCATGGGATGGGGGGGAGGTGGTAGTGCAGCAGAATGAGAGGTCAAGAGAAGTGGGTGTCGGGAAAGTGGTGGCAATGAGTGGATGGCAGGGTAGGAAGGGCAGATAATGTTGAGTAACTAGGTTAGTTCCCCCGAGCCCATTCTGAACAAATGAGAGCTAACCTTCACTGGGCCCTGCCTAAGGGCCAGGCTAGATGGCAAGTGATACTTCATCCCTGTTTGAACAGATGGTCAACAAAGAGATTAAGCCAACCGGTCATGCTCACACTGTTATGAATTGAATTGTGTCCCCTTCCAAATAAGCGTTGGAATCCTAACCCCTTTACCTGTGGATGTGATCCTGTTTGGACTTTTCTGATATGTATTTTGTAAACCTTAAGGCACCAAATATGTGACCACCATATCTATGAAAAACCCAATGCTGTTGTTTGGGGCTGTTGAGTCCATTTTCAACCGCAGCCCATGTAACTAAGTGGAACTTCCCTGGAGGGTTTTCTTGGCTTCTTCAAAAGTGAGGTTGTATTAACATGAGTGGCATCTCTCTATTCATAAATAGCATTCTGTGTATGGAATGTTTTTTCCAAGAACCCTAGGCAAAGATGCTAAGATAGGTATCTAAAACCAAAGTCAAGTCTCCAGCTGGTTCCTCTTTGTCTAATAAGATTCCTATTGTTGGTTGCTATTAATTATTCATATAACAAATATTTTATAACACTAGATGATAGTTCCTCTAACACAGTGGTTCTCAGCCTGTGGGTTGTGACCCCTTTGGGGGTTAAACAACCCTTTCACAGAGGTGGCCTAATTCATAACAATAGCAAAATGACAGTGATGAAGTAGCAACAAAAATAATTTTATGGCTGGGGCGTCACCACAACATGAGGAACTGCATAAAAGGGCCGTGGCATTAGGAAGGTTGAGAACCACTGAGCTAGCATATGTTGTTGTTAGGTGCGCTCCACATGCATAGTGGCCTTGTACACAGAACGGCAGATTGCCTCATGTTGCACCATTCCCACAATCAGTGTTATGTTTGAGTCTGTTGTTGTAGCTACTGTGTCAATCCATTTCACTGATAATCTTCTTTTCGAGTGACCCTCTACATTACCAAGCAGGACATCCTTCTCTAGGGCCTGGTGTCTCCTATTAACATGCCCAAAGTACATGAGACAGTCTTGCCATCCTAGCTTCCAAGGCTCATTCTAGCTGTACTTCTTCCAAGACAGATTTGTAAGTTCTTCCAGCAGTCCATAGTATTTTCAACATTCTTCACCAGCACCGTAATTCAAATAACATCGATTCCTCTGTCTTCCTTATTCACTGTCCAGCTATCACTTGCATATGAGGCAACTGAAAATACCATGGCTGGGGTCAGGTGCATCTTACTCCTCAAAGGGACATTCTTGCCCCTCAAGCCTTGGTAGTCCAATGCTTACCTGATAGTGTGACCAGGGCTTCTTATATAGATAGCGTTGCTTTTGGTAAAAGTTACTTAGCCTTAATTTCCTCCATCATAAAACATGGATGATAATAACATCTAAGGAACTCTGGTGGCAGAGTGGGTTGTACCTTATGCTACCAACTGCCATGCCAGGTCAGCAGTTTGAGCACACCAGCCCCTCCATGGGAGAAAGATGAGGCTTTCTACTCTCATAAAGATTTACAGCCTCAAAACCCCACAAGGGCAGTTCTACTCTGTTGTGTAGGAGTTTATGAGTTGGATTTTTCCCAAAGCAGGCCATCATTGTATTTCTTGACTGCTGCTTCCATGAGCATTGGTTGTGGATCCAAGTAAAATGAAATCCTTGACAACTTCGTTCTTTTCTCTGTTTATCATGATGTCTATTGGTCAAATTGTGATGATTTGGGTTTTCTTTACATTGAGCTACAAGTGGTTTAAGTCTTCCTTTATTTCATCAAACAAGGTTGCATCACCTGCATATTGAAGGTTGTTAATAAGCCTTCCTCCAACCTGATGCTGTATTCTTCTTCACAGAATCCAGTTTCTTGGATTATTAGCTCAGCATACAGACTGCTGAATATGATGAAAAGATACAATAATGATACATACTTTTCCTAATTTTAAACCACATAGCATTCCCTTGTTCAGTTCAAATAACTGCTTTCTGATTCATGTACAGGTGCCACATGAATGCAATGAAGTGTTCTGGAATTCCTATTTTTCTCAATGCTATTCATAATTTGTTATAATCCATATAGTCAAATGCCTTGGCATAGTCAGTAAAATACAAGTAAACATCTATCTGGGGTACTCTTTGAGCCAAGATCATCTACAATCAGAAATGATATCCTTTATGCTACATCTTCTTTTGAATCTGGCTTGAATTTCTAGCAGTTCCTTAATGATGTACTGCTACATCCATTGTCAAATTATCTTCACAAAAGTTTACTTACACGTGATACTAGTGATATTGTTCTATACTTTGTGCATTCTGTTGGGTCACCTTTCTTTGGAATGGGTACCAATATAGATCTCTTCCAGTCAATTGGCCAAGTAGCTGTCTTCCAAATTTCTTGGCATAGATAAGTGAGTGCTTCTATTGATTCATCAGCTTGTTGAAATATTTCAGTTGGTTTTCATCAATTCCTACAGCTTTATTTTTGGCTAATGCCTTCAGTGTAGCTTGAACTTCTTCCTTGCATACCATTGATTCTTGGTGACATGCTTCCTCTTGAAAGGGGTGAAACCAATTCACTTTTGCACCATGACTCTGTATGCTTCCCATCTTTTTAAAAGAAAATTTTACACCTTCCATCTTATTTGGGTATTTTCTGCATCATTCAATAAATTACCCAAAGAATCTTTCAATATTTCAACTCAAGCCTTAAGTTGTTTCTTCACTTCTTTCAGCTTGATATATGCTGAGTGTGTTCTTCCTTTATGGCCGTCTAACTCTAGGTCTTTGCACATTTCATTATAATACGCTAGTTTGTTTTCTCTAGCTACCTCCAGGAATTTTCTATGATTCAATTCCTCTTGAATTTTCATTCCCAGCATAGTACACCATATGCCTATCTGATTCAAATGGACATTAGTCCATTTCAGCTCACTAATGCCTAGGACATTGATCTTATGTGTTCCATTTCATCTTCAACAACTTATGATTTTCTTAGATTCATAATTAATACATTCCACTCTAACCTTTAATGGATGTTTGTTATTGTTTCATCTAAGTCCTGCTCCATCAACAAATGAAGTCCCCAAAGCTTTGCTTCATCGCATCATTAAGGTCAACTCTTACTTTGAAGGGGGCTATATTTTGAATGAACCTAAACTTAAGGGGCTGTCTTCCAGTACTATGTTAGACAATGTTCCACTGCTATTCTTAATATTTTCAGGGGATAATCCCTCAGAAGTGGGTAGCCTATTCCTTCCTAGCATGATTTTAGTCTGTGAGCTTCACTGACCCCTGTCACCATGAGAGACCGCTGGTCTTTGAAATACCGATGGCATAGCTTCCAGCATCACAGCAACATGCAAGCCATCACAGTATGACAAATTGACACATGGGCCCACTTAAAAAAAGGCTGTAATTCCCCTTCATTCCTGTCCATAAAAATATTAACATCTATGCATTTGCATATGCATTCATAGCATTGGACTTACGGGGCAAGTCTGCATAGTCCAGCAAAAACTCTAGTCGTTCAATTGCATCTCTAAGTTGCCTTCTAAGTTTGAACACAGTGACGTCACTGGATTTCTTTAAGAATTCAAGGAGGAAGACCAGCTCCTCAGTATTGGCAGGAATCTCACTGACTTTGTCTGCGATGTGGCTGTACTGATTACAAATGCTACAGAGAAAGAAATAGGCATCATCATCACTATCATCATCATCATCATCTAAAATAATTTTCTCGTAAGAATCCAGCATGCTGAACTGGCATGACTCCTGTGTGGAGCCCAGAACAGTAGCTCCCGATTTTTCTTCATGTGTAAACTCTTAATGGATAATCTTTACATTACCCAAATCAAGCCTGGTGGCATCATTCCTACTCAAAGTGACCCTATAAGACAGACTATGAGGGGGTACTCCCCAAAAAAACGATGCTCATTTGTGTTTGTTTGTTTTTTTAATGTGAGGGGGATAGTGAAATTTGAGTTCATTCTACCAGGTCAGACTGTTAATCAAGCTTTCTATTTAGAGGTCCTAAAAAGATAGTGTCAACAGTGCAACCAAAAAAAAGTCTGATTTGTTTTGCCACCATGACAATCCACCTGCTCACACAGCTATCTCAGTGTGCCAGTTTTTGGCAATAAACAGCATGCCTCTCTTGCCCCACGCACCTGACTCACCTGACCTTGCTTTGTGCAACTTTTTTGTTTCTACAAATGAAGAGGGACGTGAAAGGCTAGCAATTTGATAACATAGAGAAGGTGAAGAAGAAAAAATGAGGTAGGTACTGTCAGCCATCTAAACAGATGAGTTTGAAAAAATGTTTCCAATAATGGAATAGCAGATTTGACAAATGTATTAAATGTAATGGAGAGTACTTGAGGGTGATAAGATTGTTTTTACAAAAATTTAAATATATAGCTTTGAATTTTTTCCCCTCTCTTTTTTGTGTGTGTGTCCTCTTGTAGAACTGCCTCATAGCGTTTACAACACTGAAATATTTACAGAAGCACAGCTTTCTCCTGCAGAACACCTGGTGGGCTCAAATCAGAGTGAGCGTAGTGCTTAACCTTTGAGTGAGTGTAGCGCTTAACCACTGTGCCATCAGGGCTCTGGTGCACATTGCATTCCAGTCCAATAGTAGTAGTAACAGTAAAAATCTCTGACATGTAATAAGGCCTAGAATACCATGCTCCATTCTAGTCTCTCTTCATATTTTAACTCAGTTAGTTTTCATAACAATTCTAAAAGGTAGATATTATTATCATCTCTGTTTTATCATGGAAAAAAACACCCAAAGCACCTTGGTGCGTAGGTGCCAGACCAGGATGTGGGATAATGCATCAAGCTGCTAACTTTAAGGCTTGCAGTTTAAAATCATCAGCCACTCTACCGTAGAAAGATAAGGCTGTCTGATTCAATGAAGATTTAATATCTCAAAAATTCTATACAAGAAGCCCTGGTGACAGTCAGGTTAAATGTTGGACTGCTAACCACAAGGTTGGCAGTTCAAACCCACTGGCTGCTCTATGGGAAAAAGATGAGGCTGTCTAGTCCAGTAAAGATTTACAGCCTTCCCATATAGAAGGGTCACAAGGAAGAGAGGAGCCAGTCAGGGTGCAATATAGCACTGATGAAACATACAACTTTCCTCTAGTTCTTTAATGTTTCCTCCCTGCCCCCCACTATCATTACCTCAGTTCTACCTTACAAATCTGACTAGACCAGAACAGGTACACTGCTACAGATAAGAGCCAGCAACACAGGAATTCCAGGAGAGATAAACCCCTTAGAACCAACAATGAGAATAGAGATACCAGGAGGATGAGGGGAAGGTGGGGGAGAAAGAGGCAATCGATCACAAGGATCAACATATAACCCCCCTCTGAGGGGTCAAACAACAGAAAAGTGAGTGAAGGGTTACAGAGGACAATGTAAGATATGAAAATAATAATCTATAACTTATCAAGGGTTCATGAGGGATAGAGGCTGGGGGAGGGAAGGGGAAAATGAGGAGCTAATATCAAGGGCTCAAGTAGAAAGAAAATGCTTTGGAAGTGATGATGGCAACTTATGTACAAATGTGCCTGACACAATGGATGAATGTATGGATTATGATAACAGATGTAAGAGACCCCAATAAAAGTATTTAATTAAAAAAAAGATTTATAGCCTTGAAAACTTTACACAGGGCTACTATGAGTCAAAATCGCCTCAATGCGAGTGGATTTTAACTGACTCTGAAGCCCATACTCATGGGTACAATTCACATTTAGGCCCAAACAATTAGAAATACCCTTTTCATATTATATTGAAGTAGAGTAGTAAATCAATTGGCAATCACCACTATAATAGTATACCAGTAACAGTTTCTCCTCACATACTACAGGTAATTCTTGGTGGTATGTTCAATTACTAAGACTATAGGTCTAGCTATTTCCTTTCACAGGTCTTTGGAAAATGATGTTATTATGGGAACAATTTGAATCTAATTTAATTTACATAAAAGTTAATTACTGATGATCTTCACTATCTTAATTATAATTAGGAACAAATTATATCTAATACATCTACATCCTAGCCTGGAGTGGCCTTCAACTTTTTATTTTTATTTATTTTTTAAACTTAAAAAAACATTTTAAATTGATTCTTTTTATGTTGGTGGTCATACGCCATGGGCAAACACCACTCTAGATATTTCCACTTATTTAAAATGCCTAAAGCAAGGGACCCTGTTGGCATAGTGGGTTATGTGTTGGGCTGCTAACCACAAGGTAATCAATTCAAATCCACCAGCTACCCTGAAGGAGCAAGATGAAGTTGTCCGCTCCAAAAACATTGACTGTCTCAGAAACTCTAGGCTGATACTAACTTAATGGCATCAGGTTTTGCTCATTTGTTCTTAAATAGTAGAATTAATTTTATTACTCATTTTATACCAGAAGTATTTTTAAGTAGAGTTTGATACTTATTTCAGACAACACACTTTCAGACATTGAAGCAAAATACTTTTAACTAAATGTGAGTGACATAAAAATGAATTTTTAAGCTAAATACTCAAAGATTTGCATTTTCTGGTTGTTTGTTTGTTTTAAAGAAAATTACAAAGGAACCTGGTTGACGTAGTGGTTACGCATTGGACTGCTGAGATCAGCAGTTCGAAACCACCAGCAGCTCCATGGGAGAAAGACAGGGCTTTCTACGTCTGTAAAGAGTAATAGTCTTAGAAAACCACAGGGGCAATTCTACCTTGTCCTATAGGATCACTATGAATTGGCAGTGAGTTTACGTTTTTTTGGTTATAAAGGAACCTTGGTTGCACTGTAAGCTAAGTTTTGAGCTATTGGCCACAAGGTCATCAATTCAATCCCACCAGCTGCTCTAAAGGGTGAAAGAAAGATGCGGCCACCTGTTCATTAATGATTTACAATCTCAGCAACCTTGTACAGGGTCTCTATGAGTCGTAATTGACTTGATGACAGTGGTCTGGTTATTTATTAATTTTATTTTCTGTTTTAAGGAAAATCTTTTCCTGTCTTAGTCCTAAATTCTTATTCTACAGGTGAAGAAACTAAAAATCAGAGAGGTGAAGCAACTTGCCTGGATCCATACAGCTGCCAAATAACGGAAGGACTCAGATTCAAAATCAAGTCTTCTGGGTCCAAAGCGAGGAGTCTCAACACTTCATCACTCAGTGAGACAAATGAATGCGGGGCTCATAACATGGACTTTGGGGTCAAAAACAGCTACGCTAAACCTTGGATATACTACGTGCTAACCTTTCTGAGTCTTGGCTTCTCCATCAACACAATGGAGAGAATAAAGTCAATTTCTTGCAGCTGTTGGGAAGTTATGATTATATTTGAAATATTCAGTGTTTACATTTATGCCTTGACTATGACATGTGCCGAATAAGTGGTAGCCATTATATCTGGGCATCCCAGGGTGGTATAGACCATTAGTGCATTTGTCCGCTAAACAAAACGTTAGCACTTTAGGTCTACCCAGAGACAAGTCAGAATAAAGGCTTAGTGATCAATCAACTTCCAAAAAACCAACCATTGGAAATTCTATAGACAACAGTTCTACGGTGACACATATGGAGTAGCCAAGACTCGACATGGACTCAATGGTAACTGTTTTTATTCATATCATTAATTTGCTGATGACTTTCTGATATGCATTTTATATAACTTCAAATACAAGGGAGGGAGAAATAGGGAATTAACATCAATGTGTAATATAAGGGGGGGGGTCAGAATTCTAAAGTTGATTGTAATATGTTAATGATAACTCAATTTTAAAAAACTTAAAGTACCATAAAATGTTTTAATAATATATATGATGTTTTGTGCCATCAAGTTGATTTTCAACAGTTAACCCATGTGTTGGATTAGAACTTCCCGGTAGAGTTCTCTTGGCTACAATCTCCCAGGGACCTGCTTGATAGGTTTGAACCATTGACTTGTCAGCTAGTAGCCCCGCCCTTAAACATAGTACCTCCAGGGCTCCTAAATAATACACAAACACAATAACAATAGTGATCATTAGTACTGAATCACCAGTCTACTGTAATGTGAAAAAGAAAGTCAAGATAATAAGACTAGCCATTTTGTAATATTCATATGGAGACCTGAGAGCAGCTAGCTGTGATTTTCAACTTTCAGACCCCATTCCCTCTTCTGGCAACAAGACATTTTTATGGAGAATCAAACCCTCTTCCCTGTGTCAGTTCATGTGGTTTAAACAGGGCTTACACTCTACCCCTGGGGATAGAAACATCATCTAGACTATGGCCAATTGGTTGAGGCTTTACCTAAGTCAGGATAATGTCCCTCAGGCTAGGGCTTTTGTAAGACTGCTGGAAGAAGAGAAACTCCAGCCCTCCTATCCCCCAACCCACAGGCATCTAGGATACCTGGGTTGCTGAAGAAAGTTTGGCAGCAAACAGAACCAAGATCTGAGTGAGAGATTTCACACTGGCTGCAGCATGGAGTCTGAACCTAACGCGTCGAAGAAGGCAACTGAATGTTTCATATGTGTGCCTCCTATCTCCCCTTCTTTCTTTATTTGCGTAAGCCAGTCTGAGTTGAGTTTCCCACTTACCACCCAAACCGGACCTTTACATAAGTAAAAATGAAGGCACAAGATAGGGCTGAAGATAGAAAGAGCACAATTCCCAGACTCAGCGAGACTAATAGCATCGGTGTTCCTCCAGTGACAGTACCTGGTGTTGGTGTCCCAGTTTACATCCACTTGGTACTGAATCAGTCGGTCCTTTAGGTTCTGGGCTCGCTCGCAGAGATCATAGTTTAGGGCCATGGTATCAAGGCAGAACATGGCCAGAGGCACAGTGATGTGCATGGATGCGATTTCATTTCTCAGCTTTTTAATTTCATTGATCCTCTGTAGAAAGGAACATAATCGGTCGCTTACTTTGTCTTTGAAGCTCTACCCACTCACTCTCACCCCTGTGGAACCCAAGTCTAATACCAAGCACAGTTGCCACAGAAGCACTGGCTACTCTGATGGTCTGTAACACAGACCATGTAATACATGTAATACCTGAAACGGCATCTCCTACCTTCACAAAATCCTCAATTTCATGGTTTTCTTTCAGGAACGCAGTGATGTCTTGCTCTGCCATGTTATCCAATAGGTTATCATACTTCTTGTATACATTTAAGTATCTTTCATATTGAAGAGCATAAGATAAATAAGAGCATAAGACCAATATAGGTCACCCAATCAGATTAATCAGAATTCAAATGGAACAAGAAGATCTTTTAAATTTAACCCAATACGTAAGGTGTGACTGCTAATGGGAATGGGATCTTTTTTTTTTTTTAGATAGTGGTGATAAAAATGTTCTGGAATTTAGATGGTGATATTGCCTTGGGAATACAGTAAAAGTCACTGAATTATGCACATAACAATGGTTGATTTTATGGTACATGAAGCATGCTATTGTTAGTTGCCATTCGTTACAGATTCCTACTCAGCAAGTGTTACACATGTGCTACATGGGCATTACAGGACAAATGCTTTTCTTGGCTGTAATCTTTACAGAAGTCTAGCTTTCATGGCAGGAGTGACTGGGTGGCTCAAAGTGTTAAGCATGTGTCTGTTAGCCAACAGGTTGGTAGTTGAACCCACCTAGAGGCATCTCCAAAAACAGAGTTGGTGCTCTGCTTCTGAAAGTCCATCGCCTCGAAAACCCCATGGGACATTTCTATGCAAACACAGGGCCACCATATGTCAGAACCAAAGAGCGGCAGCTAACCACAACAGTCTTCTGCAGTACTGCTGGGGAGGTTCAAACCATCAACCTCTGGATTAGTAGTCAAGTGCAAATTGTTTGCACCACCTGAACCCCTGAAAAAAACCCACCGCCATAAAGTCAATTCCAACTCATAGATTACAGATGTCTCAGAGGAATACTGAGGCTGAAAATCTTTACAGTGGGTTCACACCTCCAGAGCTGTAAACTAGCAGCTGCGTGCTTTCAGTCTCAAGTCATAGAACTCCTTTGGCACCACCTAGAGACCTTATGAGAAGCTCTGGTGGTGTAGTGGGTTAAGAATTGGCCGGTTAACTACAAATTAGCCATTGAAACCCACCTGCGGAAGACTAGTGCCTGCTCCTGTCAAGATCTACATTCTCAGAAGTCCTATGAAGCAGTTCTACTGTCCTGTAGAGTCACTCATAGTCAAAGTGGACCCAATGACAGTGGGTGGTGGGAGGGACCTTACATCTCAACCACGTTCGTCAAGTATGGATGACTGCCCACTCTGAATACACTAAAAACAATTGAATTGCACACTTTAAACAGGTGGATTTTATGGTACATTAATTTTATCTCAATAAAGCCATTATAAAAATAGAAAGGGTGCCTTGAAAGTAATACGAAGCAACCCCCTAAAAAACTACGCATGAGACATATAATGTGGCAGACGCACTGAACTGGGAATTCAGAACTTTGGATTCCAATTCCAATTTTGCCACTTAGTTGCATAAACGTGGACTAAAGATTTCGTTTTTTCAAAGATTCGTATCTTCATTCTTTTAGTGAAAATTCTAATTAAAACATCTTTCTGATTGTTGTTGTTAGGTGCCGTCAAGTGGCCCTCTGCACTGTAGAATGAAACATCGCCGGTACTGTGCTCACTTCACAATGGTTATTCTCACAGTCACTGTGTCAATCTATCTTGATGAGGACCTTCCTTTTTTTTGCTGCCCCTGTACTTCACCACAGGAGTCCTGGTGGCACCCTGGTGGTTATGCATTGAGCCAGCCATTCTCAGGAGAAAGATAAGGCTTTCTAATTCTGTAAACAGTTACAGTCTTGGAAACTCACAGGGGTAGTTCTACCCTGTCATAGAGGGCCACTAAGAGTCAGCATAGACTCAATGACAGTGAGTTTGGTTTTTGGTCTACTTTACCAAACATAATGTCCTTCTCCAGGGCTGGTCTCTCCTGATAATATGTCCAGCGTATGTGAGAAGTCTTGCCATGGTTGCCTCGAAGGAGCATTTTGGTTGTACTTTGTTACGACGGATCAGTTTGTTCTCTTGGCAGTCCCTGGTACTTTTAATATTCTTTGTCAACACCACTGATTCTTCTTCCAATCTTCCTTATTCAATGTCCACCTTTCACTTACAATTGAGGCAATTTAAAATATAATGGCTTTGGTCAGACACACCTTAGTTCTCAAAGTAACATCTTTTCTTTTGAACACTTTAAAGAGGATTTGTGCAGCAGATTTACCTAATGCCATAATTTTTTTGATCTCAACTTTCTTCTACGAACATTGATTGTGAAACCAAGCAAGGTGAAATCCTCGACAACGTCCATCTTTTCTCCATTTATTATGATGCTGCCTATTGATCCAGCTGTGTGGATTATGGTTTTCTTTACATTGGCGTAGCAGTTACATGTTGGGCTGCGTTTCCCAACTGCGGCATCGGTTAGAAACCACCAGCTGCTCTGTGGGAGAAATATGAGCCTTTCTAGTCTCGGGAACCCACAGGGGAAGTTCTATTCTGTCCTTAGGGTCCTCTGACTGGGAACTGAATCTATGGCAGCGAGTCACACTGAGTTGTAATCCATACTAAAGGCTGCCATCCTTGAGCTTCATTGGCAAGTGCTTCAATCCTCCTCACTTTCAGCAAGCTCGGTTGTATCACCTGTATTTTGCAGGTTATAAGCCTTTCTCCAACCCTGATGCCACATTCTTCTTCATATAATCCAGCTTTTCTGATGATTTTTTGGGAATAACGAATGGATAAATATAGTGAGAAGCTAAAACCCTGATGCACACCTCTCTGATTTTAAGTCATGCGGTATTACCTTATTCTGTTTCCATAACTACCTCTTGATCCATGTACAAGTTCCATGTACATGAGCACAATGAAAATCCTCATTCTTCTCAAGACTATTCTTTTTTTTTTTTTTTAGTCAAGACTATTCTTAATTTGTTATGATCCACACAGTTGAATGCCTTGGCACAGTCCATGAAATACAAGTAAAGATTTTCTGGATTTTCTGGTATTCTCTGCTTTCAGCCAAGATCCAGCTGATATCACCAATCCATTTTAACTCACCAACACCTAGAATATCAATCTTTATCTATTTATTCTATTTAATTTTTGATGACATAATTTTCCTAGCTATTTCATACACTGCAAGTTCCAATTATTAATAGATGTTTGCAGCAGTCTCCTCTCATTTTGAGTCATGATCCAGCAGCAAATGAAGGTCTTGCAAGCTTTGGTCTGCCCACATCCTTAGGGTCAATTCTGCTTTGAGACGGCACCTTTTTCTCAGTCATATTTTGAGTGCCTCCTGACCCGAGGCATCACTGAGTGCCTCCTGAGGCATATTTTGAGTGCCTCCTGACCCAAGTGCCTCCTGGGCATCACTCTCTCTGACAATGTACTGCTGCTAGTCATGAGGTTTCCAGTATCTGACAATGTTCCACGGCTATAAAGTTCACCCGGGCTAATTCCTCAGAAGCGGCCAACTTCTTTCTTTTTCCTAGTTTGTTCTTCATCTGAAAGCTCTGCTGAAACCTGTTCACTTTGGGTGACCATGATGGTATTTCAAATGCCAGTCACATAGCTTTCGGCATCACAGCAACACACAATACACCACAGTATGACAAACTGACAGACAAGTGGTGGACAATCATAGTTGCAACATTAAAAAAAAAATCAAACTGCATATTACATTGGGCAAATCTGCTACTCAAGACCTCTTTACAGTGTTAAGGAGCAAAGATACCACTCTGAGAACTCAGGTTGGCTGGACCCATGTCATGGTATTTTTTAATTACTTCATGTGCATGTGAAAGCTGGACAACAAATAAGATCAAAGAAAATCGATACATCTCAATTATGGTGTTGGTGAAGAATATTAAAAGTAGCGCGGCCTTCCGGAAGAACACACAACTCTGTCTCAGAAGAAGTACAGTGAGAATGCTCCTTAGGAGGATGATGGCAGAATTTTGGCTTATATATTTCGGGCATGTTATCAGCATCGACTAATCCCTGGAGAAGGACATCAAGCTAGGTAAAGCGGAGGGAAATAAAAAAAAGAGGAAGGAAGATTATGAAAGAGATTGATTGACACAGTGGCTACAAGAATGGACTCAAAGATAAACATTGTAAGGATGGGTGCAGACTGGGTACTCTTTCATTCTATTGTAGAGAGCAATGGGTCTCAACCTTCCTCATGCCGCGATCCTTTAACACAATTCCTCATGTTGTGGTGACCCCCAAACCATAAAATTATTTTCGTTGCTACTTCTTAACTTTAATTTTGCTACCGTTATGAATTGGGCAACCCCTGTGAAAGGGTCATTCGACCCCCAATGGGGTCACGACCCACAGGTTGAGAACCGCTGATATAGAGGGTCACTACAAGTCAGTTATAACATACTCATCAGCACCCATTAAACAGAACTCTAAATCAATGTCAAATGACTAATTAATAGTTAATAAAGTTATAGCGGAATCAACTTACTTGTGAGGACCAACTTGATTTTTCTGAAATACTTCAAAAGTTTGATTCACAAAATCAGAGACTAAGTTTTCTTCAGGTCTTATGGTCCCAAGAATCAGGTTATAGCCTTTCAGTTCAGGGAACAGGAGAGATTCCACCTGCCGAGTAGAACCGGTTTTGGGATGTCACAGCGGGAAGGAGACAGCATCAAAACCCAACGTCTCCTGTAATGGACTTGCTTCCAGAGGCAACTGCTACATATTTTCACTTGGATAGTGCTAGAATCACTATGCTGGTCACACCATCTCTTTGCTCCTTCCTCTTTCCTTGCCTGGATTAATTTTCCTTCCAATCAATGCGCCTCTCAAGTCTCTCTTCCATAGGGAATCTCCCTGGGGTCCCAGTATTGGTTAGGTTTCCCTGTTAAAAGCTTGGCACTCATCACCATTATAATTAAATGCTTGTATAATGAGGTGTTCTTGGCTTGCCTTCCCCAGCTAGAAGAAAATTCCACTAGGGCCTGCGTTGTATTTTATATCTTCATCATTGAGTCCCTGGAGCCTAGCAAAAGCTTGGCTCGGGTGCTCAATAAATATTAACTAAAATGATTAAAGTAGTGCCCCTTCCTTCCCCATTATCCACTTTCTTTCTGTAATGAAGCCCTACTAGAAACATAGCTTCTAATTCCAACTTGGCCAAGAAACAGACTAAGTGACCTTGGTAAATGATTTCTGCTCTGATCTCAGTTTTGTGTAAAAGGGAGAGATGTACTAGGTTCTCCTTTTAGTGCAGGGTGGGGGATAGGGGGGAGTCCTGACTTTATGATTATGATGCATGTTGAGTATCTTTTCTGAACACTGGAACTGTCCCCAACCATTATTTTTGTATTAATTCATTCTATGCTTTTGCTGAAAATATACACAAAATATATGCAAACTCAGTAATTTCCACATGTATAATTCAGTGACATTGATTACATTCTTGAAGTTATGAAATCATTCTCATCTTCCCTTTCCAGTGTTATTCCTACCTCATTAACTGACACTCATTCCCTCACCCCCAATTTTCTATCCAAGCTTTTAAGTTGTTGTGGCCAATTCATTCCCATATAGATGAAATGCTTCAGTCTCTTTCGGGCACCTGCGTTCTCATTTACACCATGGACGGAGGCTACAGCCAAGTCCCAGCTGGAAATCCAGTCCCTTCCATGGCCTATCTACTAAGAACATTTTAATTTGCCTTCCATCTTTGTAGTGCTTTACTCAGTTGTGTAACTTTGATAGAAATTATATAGAAATGGGGCACAGAAGCACGCTCAAGTGATCTCTGGCCAATTCAAAGGCTTCTAACCCAGTTGAGGAAAACTTCTTTGCGGTGGCTATGCTGAAGACAGTGGTTGAGAGTAAAGAGACAGAGGGGCTGGCATGGGTTAATGGTAGAGAGGAAATAATTTGATGTTATTATTGTAGTACCCCACATGACAGAGAACTGTCCCATATGATCTCCTTGGCTCTACTCTTTATGGGCGAAGATCACCAGCACTTTCTCCCGTGGAGCCACTGGTTGTGTCCGAACCTCCAATCTTTGGGTTAGCATTTGAATACTTCCCAGTTGCTCCAACCTGGTCACATGGTATAGGGCAGTACAACTGGTGCACCCAAGCCAGACAATGGATCAAATGTGGGCAGGATAGTAGATTGCCACTTGGGGAAATGTTTTAAATCTATAGAGGAAGAAATACCTCCTGTTTTTCATTAAATATTACCAGTACTCCCATAGAACAGTCTGTAAAATTAAACCAAATTGCCCTGTCCAGGTAAGTAACTGGCTTTTTTTCACCCCAGAACTCTTGGTTTCATTATCACCCTCTATATTCACACCTGCATACTTCCCTGGGCTTTGTCATTTTGAGTGAGATAATTCTCCCATCAGAGCAGAGACAGGACTTAGTAATAAATATATATCTGATTATAAAAAGCTCATCTAGCGCCACTTACACCCATACTCCCCCTTGCTTCCATTTCCTGTAAGCTTCTTAGGTGGCAGAGGGTGCCAATCCATTTCATGTGACGTGCCAAACACAAATTTCTCCTCCCTGGGATCTGTCCCTACCTTCAGTTATCTCCTTTCCTCTTTTTTTTCCTTCCATTTTCTTTCCCACCATTGTTTCCTTCTTGAGCCTCTCCTTTCCTTTTTCATTCATTCTTTTCTATCCCCCCATCCACTGCCATTCTATTTTTTCCCCTGGTAGTTCTTTTCCTTATTGTTCTCATCTCTCTCTTTTCCTTACTTTTCTTCCCTAATTTTAAAATTTATTTTTCACTTCCCTTTTATTTTCCCTTTTCTCTTTAATCTATTTTTTTCTTTTACCCTTGGTTCCTTGTGTTTCCCTTTGTTCATTTTCCTTATCATTTTCAAAAACTAGCAAATGTTGCTGTTGTTTGTGTGTGTACTTTCTCTTGCTTGCTTTCCCCGGCCACCCCCCTTGCCCAATCCAGTGGGACACAGCATCTGCACCCACACAGTCAAGCTATACCTGCACGATCTGCAGCTACACACACTGGGTCAAAACTTCTCCTGTGATACCTGATCGATGATAAGGCATGACCCCATACCAGCCACACCTGCCCTCAACTGTGCTGCATGAACAGTAGACAGAGAACTGCATACACACTCCCATTATTCTCGGTCAAACCCACCAGAAGACAGGTTGTGACTTAGAACAAGCTTACATATAATCACAAATTAACTACCAAGGAAGTACCACAGTGTTTCAGAGAAACCATTTCAGTTCACATGGAGGAGCACAGCACAGTGGCTCACACAAGTGACTAAATAACATACTGAGCCAAGAAAATCTTTCCAAGGAAGAAATGGCACTTGAAACATCCATTAAAATAATTCAAAATAGGGTATTTAGGAACTTCCAATGTTTTGAGAAAAAGATTAAGAATGTTGCAGACAAAATCAAGGAAAGTACAGGCAAAACTTCTAAGAATTCAGGAAAACCTGACAAGAAACTAACTGAAAAAAATAAAGGGAAAAGTTAGAAATCACACAAAAACACCAGCTGTTGTTACTGCTCAGTGCCATGGAGTCATCGCTACCCTGGGTACAACAGAACTAGGGCCCGGCCCGGGTCATCCTCAACAGTGATTGCCATGTCTGAGCCCATTGTTGCAGCCACTATGGCAACGCCCCTTGCAGAGGAGGGTCTTCGTCTTTTGTGTTGCCCCTCTATTTTAACAAGTATGGGGTCCTTCTCTAGAGCCTGGTCTCTTCTGAGACCATATGTCCAAAGCATGGGAGACAAAGTCTCACCATCCTTGCCTCTAAGGAGCATTCTGGTTGTACTCTTTCAGAGACAAATGTTTGCTCTGTGTCAGTCCATGGTACTTTGAATGTTCTTCATCAGCACCACAATTCAAATGCATCCATTCTTCTTCAGTATTACTTATTCAACGTGCAACTTTCACATGCTGAGTTAGTTAATTGTGCCAGCCTGGCCAATAATCA